ATAAAGAGGGCAAGTTCGGTTAAAACGCATTTATTTTTCATAACATGCACCACATTGACATTTTAAAACATGATTCAAAACATATAACAATAAGGAACAATATATGCACATATTCATATGCATTTTTGGGCTCCATACACTCCATCCATATGCCATATTCCACCTCTGCCAGCATTTTCTGTGAAAAGATGAGTGAGGTTAGCTTTCTTTACAATTTATCTTGCACAATGTAATTACAAGTACGAAATTAGGAAACAATGTGATCCAACATCAAGTCATGCTCCTGTAAATATTTCACAATAAAAAACCCTTTTTAAACAAAAGAATGGATTTGATCAACAGAAACAAGTGCTTTTATTTTGGAACGCCTACAGAAAGTGTTGCAACCATTTATTTAACATAAATTCATCAGATAAACATTCAAACTTTTTATTCTGCTGTGAACCACAATGAGTGTCTGTCTGTCACAGACTCGTTTCAAAGTAAAAGCACTTCAGCGTTTCACTTTCTGAATCCATTCACTTGTTCAGGGCTTTGATTGTTATCGACAGGCCGGATGATGCATGTCTTCATACCGTAGAGTCCTGGTGTTTAGTTTAGTACAAAACCCGACTTGCATTGAAGGAAATGCAGGATATAAACCAGCAACTCCACCGTCCAGAGCGTTATATCGACAATGAGGACAGTCGAGATCTACCAGTAGAGCGCGATCGACGGGTTGGCGACCACTGGCTTAAGTTAACATAACTTAGCATTTTTAGCAAGTTGATGGGACAACTATCACTCAAGTCTTTAAAAGCTCTTAGTCTTCAAATTAAAAGTTTTAGCAGACCTGAATGCATGATTAAGCTAACTTAGTGAAGGTACGAGCGGTTAGGGTGGCTAGTGGGTGGCTGCCTCACCATTACAAAAAATAAGAAGGTGCAAGAAGACAGTCTTCAATACCACAACATAATGTTAACAGAAATTAGGTTCCGCATGTACTTACAGTGTGAAGTTAAATCCACGGTCCAAAGCAGTTTTAACAAGTCAAGGATACTCTCTGTCTCTGCTTCACTCTGTGTATCTGTGTGTTCAATGATTGGGGTGGGATTCATTGATGGAAATTCACTCCTAAGGTGTCTCAGCCAGGTTCAGAGTTTAGAGTGGAAAGTAAAGAGTTAATGTAATTACATTTACACTTAGAGATTTGATTTAAAGACACTTCATTTTGACACCAACTATTTGCCAACTGAGACTCTTAAATATAAGCGTTTTGACTCTGTCCAGAGTATAATTAACTCTACTTTTGCTTAAATTTGACCAACACCAAAAATATAACACTTATGAATTTGCCCCCCCCCCAATAATTGAATGCACTTATTGTAAGTTGCTGCGGATAATTCAGCTAAATTAAATCTAATGTAATATGTCTTCAGGTGCACATTCAATGTCAAAACGTTTTTGCACCATTTTCTATGGTGTCTGGGCTCAAATATTTTATTTATCTACACCTGACACCCTCAGATATACGAGTAAAATATAGTAAAAGTACTTGTTTGACCGATTATTACATTATTGTATTAAGCTCTATGACATCATTAGATCAATGATACAGAAGCAGCTTTGTAAACAGCAGATGGAGCTAGAGCTAAATATGTTATAAACAGTTATATACTAGGAAATTAGATATATTCTGGGAGATTATTTCTGTTTTTCATTTGTAGTAAGATAACTGGGCCATTAAAGCATTAGGGGGAAAAAGGAATTAACCAATCATACATCTGAAATAACAAATGCTTTTTCAGAAGCAAACATTTTCAAAACCACTGGTTTAGTCTTTAACAATTGTTATACTATCTCATGTTTGAAATCTTCATTATAAAAGGAACTGAAGGCAAAATAAATGGAAGTAAAAAGTAAAAAGGAGTTATAAAAACATGTTGAGCCTGCACCAAGCTGAGGAGTTTTTGGGATGAAATGTTTTGATTATACTAATAGTCTGTATTTATATATTGCTTTTCTTGTCTTGATGACCACTCAAATTGCTTTACAGTACAGTTTTTTTCCATTCACCCATTCACACACACATTCTTACAGTGCATCTATGGGCAGCAACTTTTTCTGAGGGGCCCAAGGACACTTCAGGATGCAGACTGGGATCAAACCTGACCTTCTGGTTGGAGAAAAACCACTCTACCTCAGCTATAGATAGCTAAAAGGGTTATTCTGAGAGTAGAAATCTCATTCTCCTCCTTGCTTCAATAAATGGTGTAATAAAATGGTTTCATGTTTGTACCTTGAAGAAATTCACTATACTCAAGTCAAGTTCCCAGTTTAAGTTACTTAAGATCTTCATCAGTCTAAGAATTACATATATATCTTACGTTTTATTACAGTGTTTACTGCTTATCACTGAATAGTACTGCACTGTGCCTTATCTGCCGGGACTCTGGGTTTTACAGTCCTCTCTTTGGACTTTCCTTGAACTAACCTGGTTTTGATCACATGGAGTATTTCTGGTGCTCAAACCACTTCTAGACGTTTCGAACAATATGGACTGACATTCATGATGGTCTTTTGTATTTCTTGAGATCTGGCAGTTTGCTTGTTTATTTGTACTGTTCTTCTTTGTGTTTTACCTTGGCTGGTTCATTTAAGTAAAAATTCCGGAATTAAAATAATAAACACATGTTGAGTCATAATCTGCAGGAAGAACTTCTCTTCTGTCAGCAGTACGTTTCTGTGTGTGTGCCCGTCTCTCTCACTCTGCACAAACAAACTGGCAATCACATTTAATGAATTAGTAATCAATGGTGTCAGATCATGAATCCGGATCGTTGCAGTCATTTTAATCCTGATGTCCTAGCTGTGCGCGTCACATCTCATATCATGTTGAGTACACAAAGTAAATTTAAAGTCCTGTATGGGCTATAGTAACTTCTTATTAAAGTTGGTGTTTATTGTTAAAGTGTAAATTGAGCAAAGGTCAGCAGGAGAGTAGGGACATTATAGGCCCAAAGATACTGGGCCTTTAATGTGTGTCTGCCCTGATCCTGAAGCTGCGGCTGTAATAATAAGATGAACATGGTGGAAACCCTGATAATAAATGTCAACTGTGTGTAGTTGACCAAACATGCAAGAAGATAGCAAAAAAGCACATTTTTATTACACTAAAAATCCCCACCACATCCTCTCATGATTACAAGAGAAATAAAATAAACAAATCCATTAGTAACTACATGGAAACTTCAACACAAATAATCAAACAATAAATAAATCATTGATAGTTACACAAGAAAGATAGAATTTGGATGTACTCTCTTGCAGGGTGTATTTTGTTTTAACCAACTTGAGTAAAACAGAACATCTTTCAACCATGAGATGTGCAAAGGAAGCCTTGATCCATTCCAGGTTAACAGAATGAGGCTGCATGCAAGAAATGTTGAACGCAGTCACATTAAGCATGTAAGATGATCGTTTTAAATTGAGACCAAACAGGGCAGTAATGGGCAGTGCATTGATAGTGATACCAACTATGCTTCACTGAGAGATCTAAACACTACTTGTGGCGACAGGCCCACAACATGTGAAACAGAGTTGATGGAGCTGCCCTACACCTCTCACAAGTGGGTTAAATTTTAAGAAATATATTTACCAGCTTACCTTTTGAAAAGTGTGCACAATTCATTTTCAATTTGATGAAACAGTATGGGGCTGATTTACAAACCTGTTGTAGTGTTGCCTCCCACATATCTTCACAAAAAGGGTTGCAGAGGTCTAATTGCCAAAGGGTTCTAAAATTATCCAAAGGTTGCGTGTTCAAATTGTATATGAAAGAACATATCTGCGCAATGTGTTGTTTATAAGGAAAAGTCCCTAATGAGTACATAAAGAAAAAAGTTAGAGGCACTTAAAAGTAATTTTGAATTATGATTGATTAAATGAGGCAAGCACTCCTATATATAAATCTTTATTGAAACAGATTCCATTTGAATGCCAGGCTACGTTTGGAGTGAAAATGTGGTTGATATAATTGATGCCAAATTTATTCTGAAACTATGACCTATTTTTAGTCTGAGGGCTGGGGGCAAAGTTAATTATTTTGCAAGTTTCATTTGTAGCCTGATCATTCTCCAAATCTTTCAAATATAGCCAGTGTAGTGTTTGATAGTTATAGTAGAAGGTCATCCGCATTAAGCAAAACCTTTATGGGTAATGCACCCTCTGCTTGTGTTGGTACATACAAGAAAGTAATTCTTTATAAAAAGAAACAACTTGTTCTATAGTTTTTTGGAATGGTAAATCTACTGGAAGTATAGCAGATTTTTCGGTAAATGTTTCATCTAAAGCAACAAATCTGATACCAGTGAGACAGTGAGACACAAGCTGCTTCATGGATAAATATTTGTCATATTGTATGCAGTGATGTTTGCCGTCATTATTAGGGCCCGAGCACAGTTTTCATTTGTTTCTTCATGAAAATGAATCGCTTTTTTGACAGCTTGAACATACTCAAAAAAATCACACACCAAATCAAATCGCGGGCACGCCAGTCCTGGTGAAAATATACGTATTCTGGAGTAATTGGAAATAGCCATGGTAAATTAGCTCAACAGCCCCCCCTACAACACAGCAATTCCTTCTAGTTTAACCTATCTTCATGAAATTCGGTACACACGTGTATCATGACTGACAAAAAAAAGAATTCCCGGGCACCAATTCAATTAACACAACAGGAAGTCTGCCATTTCCGATTTAGAGACCATTTTGGCTATTTTACACATGTATTTTAACAAACTCCTCCTAGAGCTATCACCAGTTCAACTCTAAAATCAGTGAATGTCATCTTAACAAGATGGAGATTAAAACTACCTCAATTTTCGAGTATACGTCATAGGGTGTGACAGTGGTGTGGCATAAAATTTTGATGATTCGCCATCAGAAGACAAGTTTGTTGTATCTCGGGCATACATGTTGGACTCCAAACTGGACATGTATGTCCCGACCTCATGACATCTATACAGAAATCATGATTAAAATCACAGCGTCCCCTTGTGGCAACAGGTAATATCTTGTTTCTTGCATGTCTTAACTGAGACCTGGATTCATGTTGGTGAGTCCACATCTTTTTTTGAGCTTCTCCCACCCAACTGTACATTTTTCAGCACTCCTTGGACCACAGGTAAAAGTGGAGGGCTAGCCACTGTATATACAGTAAATCCATTTTCATTGTGTCGACAGTCTGTAACTTTCACCTACTCTAGCTTAAAGCTGCAGCTCTTTGAGTTACGTAAATGCTTTCTTCCTGTGCTATTTTTAGAATTAAGATTTTACTGACTTCATAGCGGGTATTTCGATGGATTATGATAACCTTTTAATTTGTGGGGATTTTAATGAACATGTATGCTGTGAAACTAAACCTATGGCTAAAGATTTCACAAATGTTATAAATTCCTTTAATTTCACCCAGTCGATGTCTGTGATCAAATCTTCTTCTCCTTCACGCTGCCGCAGTGTAATTACCTGTCAAACTCTGTTGCAGTTCTCTGCTGTTTTTAAAGGCTCTGTGCTCTTTAACTTGGATGGTAGTGATGTTCTCAGTGCTGATGAGCTTATATCTATTTTTAACTCAACCTGCACAAGTACTTTGGACTGTATTGCAATGGAAATGCACTAAAGCACTTTCAGAGCCATGGTTGAACAACCGTGCTCTCAGAAGTGCATGTAAGCACGCTGAGTGAAGGTTAAAGGACAAACTCCAAAACGAGTAATATTTTTGGAGTTGGGATGCCTCGAAGGAGGAGCCTTCGTCAAGATGCCCAGAGGACTAGGATTGGTACCCCACATACTTGCCCCATCATTATTATTGAAAAGCACAACTGAATCATGGTGCCTCTCAAGTTTATATACAAAATAAATACAAAAAACCTGGTTAATTTCTTTTTTATTTTTGCTCTTTTCATTCCACGAGCTTTTTTGGGGTTTGTTTTTGGCACCATGGAGTCCGTGGAGAAGGAGTGTGGGGCGCTGGGTGGATTATTCCAGGCCATCGTGAACG